TGTGGAGCCAGTTGGGTGGGCTCAAACCACAACACCTGCTGACCACCCCTCTTTCTTATCTACCACTATCAGAAATTGAGGACAGACAAAGTGTCTTCACATCCACTTACGTTTAATAAAAGCCAGTGGTGACAAAGCACTGGTTGGTTTGTGTTATATAGTGCAAGGTCTACCTGCGCAGTCAGATGGCTGAAAGACTGCTCCACTGACATATTCATCTGATAAGTCGGTCTTAATTGATCACGTTATGCACATCCACAAGCCTCTATAAATTAACCTAATGTTTCTCCCCAGTGAAATGTGTCTGCATAAGCAAACACCCCTCTGCATTTATCACTTGACCCCTCAGCTGTTCTCCTCTGGTGGATAATAAGGTCTTTTGTGAAAGGAATTGCTGTGTTCAAGTTTCTAGTTTATCATCACCTATATGAGAGCCCCAGGAAAACAGCACTACTGATATAACATTATGTTTTGGAAAGCATAAAAATAAACAAACAAACAAAAAGGCCTCTGTAAAAGATGCTGAAGTGGCATCTTCTTTCTTACCTGGTCTAGAAACATGGATCCACCAAAGGCCCAGACAGCAGCAAAGACAAAGTAAAGCTCATAAAGCTCCTTGGGACAGTCGGGAGGTGTGTTCTCCTCTGTGAGGAGGCATTCGAGGAGGCAGCACAACATCTGAACCATACTCTGCTCAGGAATGGGAATAATCTTCTTAAATCTAAGCAATGGAAATTGAAAGCACGGGAAATATAATTGGGTCCAGCAACACAGTCGCTCACAAGTCAGGAAGGCAAGCCTAGAAATGCTTTTTCAGAATATTAGCATTTTACTTGTCAGCAGTGCATGTCTTATTCCCTGGTACAGCAATAAAGCGAACACCCATTCTCTTCCTCGGACCTGCTGGCACCGGCACATGTACAAGTAATAACAGTAATCAGAAGTTTCAAGCATTTTAAAACTTTGATCCTCTTGAAAGAAGTAAAAAGGAAGACTTGCTAAAGGCAATGATTTCCTGTGAACATGATGAGTTCAAAAGCGGTCAAATAGAGGAGTAATAAAATAAAACCTTTCATCTTGCCATTTTACATTCATTTAAGCTACACTTACAGAATTCCAAACTAATATTGTAGCAGCACTGAAGTCCTCCGTAAAGTAATTATAGCTATTTGAAAGGTTGGTTCTACAATTTCTGAATTAAGCAAGCTACCAAAATACTCAGCTCAGAGCTGCCTGCAGCTAATCCCATGGATTTCACGGTCTGACGCAATGTTCAGCAAATACAGTACGAAATGTCCAACGGACTTTGCTGCCAACAGCTGTAACCAGCTTGGTCACCCAGGGAGCAGCTCCCTAGTAAGAGGCCTAATTCCTGCTTCCAAACACCACTGCTTTCACTAACGCAGTCGTTCTGACACACCCCCATCGTGGCTGACAACTCCCACGCCCAATTTTACATCTACACTGTGTGCACTCAGCCAAGTATCTGATACTTTATTCCCTGTATCGCATTCTTCCCTCTGCAAAATGCTTGCCCAGCTCACTGGAGTGTTTATACAGGAGTTTTTTGAAACTAAATACACTAAGAATTGTCTGGTGCTTATGTACTTGTATGACCCATGTAACTTGTAAAAACAGAGATAATGGCTGACCAAGGTGTATTAAAAGAAATTTTTTCAGTCAGCAGCATAATGAGAGTTGAAAAGAGCTCTGCGCAAGTGGGAAATTTAAGCTTATGGGGTAAATTCATTCTGCTAGCTTATTTCTCCATAATCAGCCCTGTGTCTTAAGTCACAGTGAGAAAGGGAAATGGAATCTGGTCCTGCAGCAAGTGAGCTGAAAAAAATGTCTTATCTTCCTGCATTTTAGTGCAAGATGTATTTTCTTTGAATCCTTTTTCCTCTCCTCTCCTCTCCTCTCCTCTCCTCTCCGTAAATGAGGGTGCAACTCTACTAGCAGAGGATGGGAGAAGCTCCTGTACTTAAGTTTGTTGGGACTCTACTTTGGCCAGTTCTCACCACAGTATGAGTAAGACTGTTCTCTCACATCATGTTATCATGATAAGCAAGAACCGCATGACTTTGTGGACACCAGTTTGAAGCTAACTCAAGCCAAGGAGCACCACGGCCCTTCCAAATACCTGAGTTCTTCATGTTCACCGGATTGCTGTCCAACCAGGAAACGCACCCAGGCTGGATGCCCACACAGACCGACTTAATTTTGTTCAAATGCATCAGGAAAAATTCAAGAGAGAACTGCCTGTAGAGCAATCTCACCCTCTCCCCCAAACACTGTCTTCTTTCTCACCACCGAGGGGAAGGAAAAGAAACGGAGAGAGGATAAAAGAGGATCTGCTCTTTCCACTTCCCATACTGCATACTAAAAACTTTCCTTCAGCAGTGGTCTAAAATCTGCTCTACAGAAAAGGAATGGTGGAGTGAAATTAGGTCTAGCCTGACACATCAGGAGACTGAAAGACTGAAAGGACTTTCTCTTTAGGATCTCCTGGATTTACTTTCCAAGAGATACAGAACTGGTACAGGAAGTACAGGAACAATCAAATCAAAATCTGATGAAAGCCAGATGAAAATCAGATCCGACCAACAAGACTTTGCCCCTTTATTGCTCTGAGCTTAAGCCAACGATGCTCAGGGCTCTCAGGGGCAAGGAGGAAACCAGCCACCCATGCCACATGCAGCACGACCCCAGAGCAGCACAGCTGTTCTGGAAAGCAGCAAGTGTCCCCCTGCCCTTGCCAGTGGAGACGCAATCACTCTTCAGACGGTACCTTGTTCTGAGGGTGTCCAGGCAAATCGGCAGGTACTTATCAAACAAGATGGTCAGGTTCGCTCTTTCAGACTGGATCTCTCGCCTGTCAATCCAGCTGCTCACTGGGGCGTTCCAGCCCAGATCCGATGGGTTGATGTACAGGATCCCTTTAGGCCCAAGGTAAGAGAGAACATCATATAGTAAGGACACAGCAGAGACTCTTCCTTTCCTCCAGCAGAATTTCTCAGCTGCTTTCACACAACTGAAACCCTGCCGAATACACCTGGGTGCCCCATTACCTACCCCATACTCCTGCCCTACCGCAGAGCAGAAACATTCACAGTGAAGAGACTTAGCTCAGGAAGCCAGGTCACCTTTCATGACCCTGCCCCAAATTCAGAACATGGTCTTGCCTGAGTCTTGCTATTGCTCTGGGCACCATTTCCCTATGTGTAGAACTAGGGGACACCTTCATTCCCTTCTCCCATACTTCATGCACTTCTCCAGAAGATAAGGAGCTCTTTGGGATAGAGATTCTCCCTTTCCTCACCAAGTCCATACAGGGCTTTGACAGCAGGAGCACTCTCTTGGCAATGTTGAACCCTTGATCACCCATCAACAGAGAGCTGTGTGTAAACCTCCAACATAAGGACAGCTCCCCATGTAGATTTGGGGTCAGGATCCTCAGTTTGTCCATGTGCTTCAGGAACCCATGCTGTCCCCCAAAAGGCAGCTGTAATCCCAGGTTGGGAACTTTCAAGAGGGACCAAGTTGTCTACAAAAGACTGGTTAATGGTAATAGATCCTACTTGGTCCATGTAAAATCCCAGTGTGAAGCTGAGGCCAGGACTCACCTGCTCTGGAGACGGTGGCTGGGGTGGCTGTGCGCAGGTGGCTGATCTCAAAGACCAGCCGCATTGTTGGGTTCAGAGGGATTCTCTCATTGCTTGCCAGGGTCAGCACCTGCATGTGGCAGACAGACAGACAGACTAACACCTCCCCCAGGAATAAGAATGAAAAGCATTCAGCACTTTGAACCAAAGAGCTTGGTTGCTGTCAGCCCAGTTCCTTGAGGCAAAGCAGCTGATTTCTAACAGGTAGTAGAACTGATCTTTCTCTCTTCCACAAACCATAATCAACATCACTCCCTTAAGGTGGGGAAAAAGTGTAGATTACGACTGCGCTCTGCTTTTAAAGGGTCTGAAGTTATGATCAGGACATTTGCCTGGCTCTCCAAGAAAGAGAAATTCCAATGAAAGCATGCTTTGAGCTATTTCCCTCATGCACCACTTTGTTTATGCAATTTTGTCTGGTACATCTGAAGAAACACAATTGCATTATTCTAGGAGGTGTTATTTCAGTATCTGCATTTCTCCTAGGCTGAATCACACCACGTAGTCAAGGAATACCTGCTTATTTACCTTATATTCATTACCTTATTATCATCCATCACAGTATTAAGAGATTCAATCCACATCGGATCAATATCTCCATCTAGTACAATCCACTTGGGACCATCATGTGTGATGTTGGCCAGCTCTCGCATGATTGATGAAAACAGTCCTGGGAAGGCGACAGCATTATGTTGATGAACACTGGAGTTGCCACCTGCTCTAACAGTTTTCTCTAGCGACTTACTAAAAATCATCCTAATTAATGCTTTCTTCTTAAGCATTCAAAACTCTGTGCATCTGTACAGACATATTACTATACCACAATATGGGTCTAGTCTGCTTTGAAGGAAAAAACCATTATCAGTTACCACCACTGAAAATGACTGCAGACGTATACATGAGTTTTATCCCCAGCAAGAATCATAAGGGATAAGAAAAGTGGAGAGCAGATACTCAGAGGCAAAAGAAGGCATGAATTACACAATGCAGAGAAAACCATCTGAATATGCCTTGGAAATTCTTACAAATGTTTTTTTGTGGCTAGAAGTATATCAGGGAAATCAAGATGCATTAAACACTGGGTCACGGCTTTAGTGAGATTGAGGGGAGAACAAGCACAGAATGACATTGAATGACAGAACAAAATGTCAGTAAAATCAAGGAGACAGAGAGGATACGGTGTCTCGAGGGGAGTAAATAATGAATGTTAAGAAGAGCAAGAAGGCTGGGAATAGAGCAGCAGTACTGCAGAGCAGATGAAAACTCCACAAAACTACTGCTCTCCTCTACATGTGAAAATACCTAGGGAAACGCTGGTCTTCATGAAAAAACATCAAGGAAACATTAAAAAAAATCCTCTCTTCTGGTGAATTGTGACAATAACACTTTTTTTTTCTCCAGGACAAGCTATTTCTTTGTGATCCAGGTCAGAAACAGCCAGTAGCATTATATGACTGAAGACAAAACTTGTGCACAACAAATGCCGAACAGCTCACCTGAAACAGGTATCTGCTTCTGAGACTGGGGTGAAAAAAAAACAACACTTCACTGGCTCTGCCTTGACTCAGTTCCTCATATGTCGGACACATGCCTTGGAAACGGCTCCACCACCATTAATATCAGAAATAGCTACTGTCTCAGAGCATCAGTGCTTCCCTCACATACACCACGGCAGCAGCAGAGAGAAAAGTGTCTCTCTCCTAACCTTGTGTACCCACACCACGGAGCAGCCTTGGGATTTAAAAGAAGATTTTGGTTCTACAAAGAACACTTTTAGGATTCCATTGTGGGACCTTTTAGGTCCTAACATGTGTAACCTTTTCAACTCCTGATAATGAAAGGAATGACAGGATGAAAATGGAAAGAGGAAAAGAAGGGGCGGATCCATAAGGGAACACATCACCTCTTGTAAAGCTGAGGTGAAGATTGCCTTGCTGGTCTTTGACAACAAGAAACAAAATGTGAGGAATGGTTAATGCAGAGAATATCTGCCTTGAAACCTCAGGGAGGAGTCCCTTAAGGTCCCCTTTCTCCGGTGTTTACTCAGAAAGGCACTGCTCAGCTTGCTGCCACGGTAAAAGCTTTTCCTGCTGTGAGCCCTGGGCACTGCTGCAGCCGGTCTGCAGAATTCAGGCTGCATCCCGTACTTCCCTCTGTCATCTTGATTTAGGGTCCCTAATTACAGTTAAAGAGAAGTTAAGCCTGGCACTGGAGCAAAGCAGGGGGTACGGAGGGGTCTGTTGTGGGGGCCAGGGGAGGTGGGCGGTAGCTCATCTCCTGCTGGACTTCTGGCCGAGAATGATTTACAGCAATGTCTTCCCTTACCTTCCCCACGCCTCCCAAACCAGCCATACACGTAAATTAAAGCTGCCTTTACATATTAGTCACAACCTAAGATTTTCACTCCAGATTTCTGTAATCTTTCAGCAAGTTTTAAATGTTCTTATTTTCCTCAGGAGCAATCAGGATCAATAGACTGGCAAATGTCGGTGTACTACAGAGATCAAGCAGCAATATTAGTGGAAAAAACACCACTTTAAGGCCGCTGCATGTATGCCACCAGCTATGGAACCCTAGAATGGCATATTTTGGGGGGCCCCAGAGCACATCAACAGGGCAAGAGGGAACTCTCTTCCGTCACCGGTCCCGCCAACCCCAAAAAACTGCCTGCCTCATTTAGGAATTGTGAAGTGTTGGTATTAACGGACATGATAAATGTTCTTATGGCAATAGGATAAAGAGGTTTATGCTATACTTCCCATCTAAAGAGCAAGAAGTTAAACATTCTATGTATCTTTTCAACAACAAACTGTCACGTGCCTGTGAGCAGCAGACAAGCACCTGGGCTTTCAGACCTGAATGCAAAGAACCAGTCGTCCTGCTGTTGCTCAGGAAGTTCATCAAAAATATCCTTCTTTAGCTACAGATTCAGGTATGAAAAGACATTTTTACCATCTTTCCATTCTCGTGTTGCTGGGTTAATGATGCCAAAAAGCTCGTCATTGGTGACTGCCTTGGGGTTGAGGTCTGTCCAGACAGGACGTCGCTTCATTATCTGGTAAGTCTTGTTCAGGGATCTCATCACCTGCGATTTGCCCGTGCCTGCGTTACCCACCACGAAGACAGAGTGCCGGACCGTCAGCAGCTCCTCCAGCTGCACCACCTGAGAAAAACAGCCAAATTTTAGACAAAGATGCCAAACTGAAGTTCAGGTCTAGCTCCCACTGGGCCTCTTCTTTAGAAAGATGTGACCCAGACACACAAGCAGGTTTGACTTTGAGTTTGGTCTAGCCCCTCTAATCATGCTGGGTGAAATCCTCAGCCTGCAGACAAACCTCCAGCACTGTTTGCATCTGACAGCCATCAGCTGATGAGGCTCTGCTCTCCAGGGGCCACACCTCAATGAGCCTACAAGAGTTAGCCCCTTTGTAAACCCAGAGACTGAGCCAGTGCTGGCTTTAGGGGCAGGTGCAACTGCACCAGACCCAGCATATTTGACTGTCTTCCAACAAGGTCGGCCTGCAGGGAGAATATTGTTCAGAGCCCTCTTTGTAGAAGCAAAGATGGTTGAGAAAACCCAAATGATTTGATGGTGATGTAGGTACAGCAGAAGATCACTTGGTCTTACTTTGAGCACAAAGTTGTCCTCAGCCTGCAGCTGGAGGTCCAGCACAGCCTGCCTCACAAACGACTCAAAATTCAAGTCACGCTTCCGAGGCACATCCAGCGCAGGGAAAAGATCCCCAATCAGCCCCATAAACACGGGCACGTCATCAGTCACAATCTTGGGGATGTTGAAGTCACGAAGGGAGCGCATCAGAACCTGGTCCTCAGGTCGCTCTGGGTCATCTCGTTTGAGAGAGCCGGCGACAACTAGCACTGACTTGATAGCACGCAAGCCCCAGTCATAGTGATCCTACACAGCGGGGGAGGGGGGAAAAAAAAATAAAAAAGTGGGGTGAGCTTATGCTTAGAGAGTACACCACCATGCAGGGGGAAGAAACAGCAGCTCCCCACTGCCAGACAAGTCAGCAATGGAAATACATCCAAATCTGTTATCTGCATTGTGGCTGGAGACCTCCACCAGCCTCAGTTACCTGATTTCCATTTCAGCAGGTGAGATTCTAATCAGGGACAGTATCAAAAAGTCAAATAATTCTGTTGTTCGTAACATCACGTGGACTTAGAGTTGGCAGTAAGACAGCAGCAGGACTTGAACTCTGGAGGCTTAAGGAATTTGGTTCACCTAAATCATAAAGCAGCTAAAGCAAGGCCAGTCAGACCCCTGAATCTGCAGGAGCTACCAAGGTGAAAGACTTCTAGTCCATTATGAGGCCCCAAATACCCAGGTTTCTCCATCCTGCCCATCACAAGATTACCAGCTATGTTTTTTCCCAGAGGCAGCCCACCAAACAGCGGCCAGTAAGGACATTGCTGAAAAAGGACCACAAAAAGGCATGAGGGGAATTCTTAAGCCAACAAGCAACTCTTTATATTTCTGCTCTGTTAATGAGAGCACAGCTGGATGTCTGACTGCTTTGTTTGGGAGGCCGTGGCTTCTATCAAGACCTCCAAGACATAGCACAAAGTTTCTGTGACAAGGCACCTCCCACCCACCCTCATGCTGGCACAGCCAAGATCAGGTTTTCCATCTGGAGTCCTGATTCAGCTCTCCTCTGGACACAGCTTTGATTTATGCAAATGATGACAAGTGATTTATGCAAATGATGACAAATCTGATTCATTAGAGATTTACACTGGAAGTGACCCTACTTGGTCAACACCTGACAAGACATAGGGAACTGTTAGACTGAACTCAGAGAGGGAAAGACATTATAAAACCCTTGCAGGCAGGTGATTCAATGGGAACCAAGAGACTAGAAAGCAAAGGGTCACTGAGTGCTGCCTCAAACACGGTGGAATTTGATGGGAAAGACATTATAAAACCCTTGCAGGCAGGGGATTCAATGGGAACCAAGAGACTGGAAAGCAAAGGGTCACTGAGTGGAATTTGAGGCCGATGAAAAAAATCACTCCTACTAATGCAGCTGGTCTAGTGCTTTTGTCTCTGCAGATCCTCCAGTAAAACAGTTTGAAAATTTCATTGCTCTGATGATCACGAACCTTCTCTTCTCCCAGTAGCTAGTGCATATGCATTCACTAAAGAAAAACTGTGAAACTTCAACCATGGAGCTGAGCAGCAGAGTGCCATGCTCTTGCTGATTTTGGAGATCAACAGGCTTCATGGTAACATCCAACCACAGAAATGGGCTCACCTGCTTGGACAGGAGCTCTTTGCAGAGTTGGTAGAGAGTAATGAACTTCCTGGCTAACGCTCGGGCCTCAATGAATCCCTCGGCCACCAACATAATTTCACAGATCAGCTCAAAGTCTGGCACAACCATCGCACATGGCCTGAAACGGCAGGCAAGAAAAGATTGCAGAACAAGTAAGTATTTCTTGACTAAAGGTCTTAGGGGGAATGGATTTGCACCTTTATCTTCCGGGTCTTCTCCTCTGAGCTAGGTCACATTCTGCCATTCCTACCGCAAGGTACAGAGCTCCTTGCCCCGCCTGTGCATTCCCAGACCCAGGCTTGTTGCGCGAGGCCGAACCTACAGGCGAATCCCCAATGCAAGTGAATTCCCCAAGGAAATTAAGTTAAGCCTAGATGTTCCAAAAGACAGTTTCTGCCAGTCTTATAATACAGATCACAAACCCTGACCTGGACTCACCTGAAGAGAGCTTTTAAATTCTCAGGTAGCTCGGTTCGCCCTGCATAACCAGGGTTCATGGTGATGAAAATGCCTACTGAGGGTACTAAGTTAATGTTTTCTCCAAGAAAATTGAAGGATTTCTTCTTCTCCCGTATTGCATCCTGCACACTCTTCACCTAGGAGCCAAGACAGCATTATTATTGTACTTGTGTTCAGTTATGAAAAACACAGCAGACAACAGTGCTGCCTTCCTTACGCTTGGCTCCATGACAAATGGGGCTTATCACTGTTTTGTTCTTTACTGACCATATAAAGCTTTATACACTGTTTGGAGTAAATCAAGTAAAGCAATATCAATTTCTCATCAGAATCATAGTCTGACAAAGCAGAAGGAAGAGCTGAAGAGATGGGGCAGTCAAGCTGCAATGGAGTTGCAAGAATTTGCACCCTTTCTCTGTACAACAACGATGGACGTTGCAGGAAGGTCAGTTCAGGAGCAGGAATCATCCCCAAAGCTGCCTGTGTCTCACCTTGACTTTTGACATCACCTGTGGGGCACATTTCAGCACATCTCACAGAAAAAATACCACCAAAAGCTAAGTCATCTCTTTTAGCTTCCTGAGGTAGCAGGAGGCCAGATTTGTGAGACAAGATCCAGAACTGTCCAGGTATCCACAACACAGCCAACACCCAAATGCAGTCCCAAGAGTCTGACACAATACGAGCCCCTGATCCCCTCCATCCCTCTTCACCTCTCCCCACACACCACTGCTCTTCATCACAGCCCACAACCCTGCTGTGCCTGCTCTGTTCCTTGACTAGGCCCAGAAGAGGAGCAGCATTTACCAATAAACTTGGCCTCAGCTTGATTGCAAACTGATCTCTTGATATCACTTGTAAAGGTTTCGGGACATCAGATATTAATTTAAAACAAAACCCACAAGGCAGAAGCTGTAAGACCTCCCCTAACACCTTTACTAACTAATATTATATTGTCTTTCATATTTGCCTGATGGCAGCTTTGTTCTTCTCATTCCTCACCTTCCAAATAGAGTAAGTTTATTAAAGCTAGATCACCTTTCTGCAAACAGCACTTCAGCAAGGGAGAAATCTCTCTGTATTCACTACTCTAACCTTATTGTTGTTTGCCATCTTAAAGTTAAGCAAGTTAATCGAATTTTTCTCTGTAAGGAACCATATCGACATTAGCTGCATGACTAAGACAGCCAATTAAACATCGCCATGGTTACGCTCCTAATAGCAGCCAGGAGACACGATGATGGAATGACAGCCGTGCTGCTTTCTTCAGATGCTGTGCTCCAGCCAGGAGCGAGGGAATCATTAGCAGTTGAGTCATATCTGGGCTTCTTTTGTTCAGCTTCCCTTTTTATTTTAAGATCCTCAAAGACTTTTTTCAATGACAACTTTAAACTAGAACCTGACGGAAGAGAAATTGAGAGGGAACGATACATAAACTCCTGTACCCGCCTGGGGCTTCTTTGGGATGTCACGTAAGGTACCAATTACAAGTGAAAGAGAGATGAGAAGAGTGATGAGTTCGTGGAGGTGTTCAGAACAATGTCTTTGACTGAAACATTAACAAAAGTATAGAAACTTCTGGGCTTTAGCTCTTTCCTTCTGCAATACTGAGTCCAAAAGGGGGTCTAGGAAGAAATCAGTACCTCAGTCAGACATTGGAATTTTAAATCCTGCACTCAGCTGACACTTGGCTCTAGAAGACCTTAGACACTTTGGCACCTCGGTTTTCAGCACTGAAGTCTCCTAAGGCTCAAACCTTTAGGTTCTGCTCGTGTCAGAACTGTCTCAGCCTGGACAGTGCAGTTGAACACCCACCCTCTGCCCAGACTGCCCTGGTAGTGGGATTTACCTGGCATTTTCAGAGGATACCAATGTGATTTAGCATCTGGACAACATCCAGACACAGCTCTCCTTCAAAACAAGGACCAGGAGAGGTAGCAGGAGAAGGAGATGGGAAATCATTCTACAGGGAAAACACCTATGCATAGCCGGGCACAGCTCAAGCAGCTTTCTCCTAGCTTTAATCCCATGCTACCAGGGTATCCAAGGCAAGCACATAAGCAAGGGCTGCAGGTCTGCTGCGAGTTCCAGTTACCGAGTGCCACCCAGCTGACACTGCCTTTCAGGAGCACCGCACTGCACCCACGGGGCTGCCTGCATTCCTCCGAGAAATCACGTCACTTGGCCTGGAATACCCTCCAGAGCCGTTTCACAGAGATCTCACTACAGACACTGAAATTAAATCTACATCCCTATCAAAACAGAAGAAAGGAAAGATGACTGCGCAGTCTTGGTGACAGGTAAATATGACACTCAAGCTGTGCCTGACCGGAGGCAGCAGGTAACCTCCAAAAGTCCAGCAGGCCATGGATCTGCCCCAAATGCCACCATGCTCCTCTGGGACAATTTTTCCCTACGGGGCAGGTTCAGTAGCCATATGTCAAGGCCGCTCTCCTTCCTAAAATGATGCACCTCAGATATCTCACAGCACATTGATGACATGAGTGTCTTCCTCAGGAGGAATAGGTGCCATCGTGTATACAGATGTGGGAGAAGATGCAATAAAGAATTGCCTCAACACAAATGCTGTAACTAGGGGAAGAACAGAAGAGATAAAAGTGTTTGCAGCACATCACTGCTACGTCCTGTCAGTGCTGTGGTAATCATGGGATTAATCTTGGGATGTAATCCCTCACCTGCCTACACGCAGAACCGAAACCAGCAACATGCACTTTCCATACTTACCCTTGCTCCAAAGGCTGCAGCATGGCTCTGCCTTGTTCTATTTATTTATGAGCGTTTCTCCACTTACCTGTACAGCAACCACAGAAAGGACCTCGACTGAGATCCTGTTAAATTCATCAAAACAGCCCCAGGCTCCCGTCTGGGAAAGGCCTTTGTAAATATTCCCACAAGACTAAAAAAAAAAAAAAAAATAAAAAAAAATTACAAGAGTGAAATCACAAATGGAATCAGCTCCAGCAAAAAATGGATTTTATTTCCCAGCCTATTTATTTATAGAGATTTACAGTCTATTGTGGGTATTTAGAAAAGTGCATGGAAACAGCAGGCACAACTCAATTATAATATTTATAGCTCTGCACAGTTTGCCACTTGATTTGCTAATTGCACTTTCTTGATATATTTGTGCACTAGCTTCATTTAAAGGTCACCTGTGCTGAATTACTGACGGCCCAGCTTCCTGGGAGAGCCCATAAGCTGAATAAAATATGATCCAAGGCTACCAAAATCACAGTACTGTGCCAGACGGGTGGAGAGCAAGACTCAACCAACAGTTCAGCATTCTGCAGCAGCTGAAGGTTCAGCCTGTTTTGGCTTTATTCTGGGAGAGGATCCTGAGAAAACCAGGACAGGTCCCTTCCCATTCCAAGGCCTGCCAGCTTGCAAGTGTGCCAAGAAGAAACTACCAGGGTAGAAGTATTAGCCTTGGGCTCAACTAAACAGGCCACAATTTTTGAAGCATTTCACATGGAATCTAACTGCAGAAGGGAAGAGAAAGGCATAACGAGGCAGAGAGGACAGTTTGGGTCTCTGCCTCCTGAAGAACCTTATGTAAGTCTTAGAGATTAAAAGGGAGGAGGAGAAAAAGGTGTTCAGCAGAAAGGAACGTAGCAGGGATTTGAGGAGAGGTGACGGATCAAAGGGATCTCAGCTGGATTACTTTCATCCTGCACGTTTTATCGGGCCCTGAGCATCCCTAGCCCCACGCGTCAGCACTGTGGCTGAGGTGGGAGCAGTACCTTGTAGTCCATCTGCTCGGAGCAGTTAAACACGTACACCATGATGCCCAGGGCTCGCCCCAAATCTTTCGTAGTCTCTGTCTTGCCAGTGCCTGCAGGGCCCGCGGGTGCTCCGCTCATGGTCAGATGCAGCGACTGGGTCAGGGTGATGTAACACCTTTCACAGGGAACCACGAAGGAAAAAAGGCAAGAGACTGAGACTCGGTTCAACAGGTCACTGCTGGGCTACAGAGAAATG